TTCACTTGCTTGCAGATGATCTTATAGAAATGAGCACACAGATCTTACTTAAACTTGTGAAGTTCTACTGATGTAAACGGCAACATTTTCCTATGTTAAATTAGACCCTACGCAAAGTTATCATCTGGTCTTTGGTTAGGTGTTGACTTGAGAAACATGGCTTGCACTTCTGAAGGACTGAAATTTCATGTTAGTACCATAATTTCATTTCATATTTTTCAAAATGCATCTTTTTTCTGGCATTTGAGGACTGTTCAGCAGCAGGCTCTCATGCAACCTTGTTTTTTAGCAGATGGAATAAAAGGTCAAACTATGCTATATGGAGCAGGCAACGTGATTCCCTGTGTCTAGGTCCCTTGCAACATAGGCAGAAAGTTGCGGTTTTTGCTTTAGACACAGCTGACATCATCTCTGCATTGTTATGTCTCTTGTATGTGCACAGCGTGATCTAGAAAGCCAGTTATAATGGGGACAATCCCACTGCAAGGCTGATAGCAAAAGCTGTGCACAAAAGAACAGTATACCGCTACATACAGCAGAGATACGTTGTGTTTCTATTTGTTGTACTTCTCAACGTGTTCAGATGATTTCCAGATGAGGAGTTCTGTTAGTATAGAATTAAGATAGGATTGTAAATTCCGTTTAAAGGTCTCAAGATAACCAGGGAGTCAAGATCCCCACATTTTTAGAGCTGAAGTTAAAAGAAGAATCACTACGTACGTGAACAGGAGAAATTGCTCTGATGGATCAGACTACTTCAATTTATTCAAAACCCTATTAATTATTGGTGTTGTCAAGTAACAGAAGCTTCAGAGGAAAAGACAAATAGAACTGGTTCAGGCCAGCTGGGGCACAGGAAGCTCTCCCTTGTCTGTAGTTCAGGAAATATGAAAACCTTCAGTTGTTGGCCCAGCCAAAGATCTTATCACTTTGCATTAACTCAATATTCTAATGAAAGGCACTTATCCCCTGTATAAAACATTCTGGTCTCCTTCTAAGAACTCTTAACTTTGTGCTCAAGTTTTCCAAGCGTGTAAGAAAACGTCCTCCTTTCTGAGGCTGTCACTGTGCAGCTTAATGCCTGACACATGCACAGCTTCCTCCAGGAGAACAGAGGGGCTGTGCTTGTGGATCTGTGGCACTTCTGACAGTGTGCTGGCACAGCCCAGTGCCTGCGTTAGGGGCTGAGTCCCCCTTAACTCAGCTTAACCCCCTACCCTCATCTAGAGCACTGCTAAGTACCCTTCCACCTCTCTCCATCTGTCTCCACAGGCCCGGAAGATGGACAAGTTGTTCCATTAGCCAGTGGAAAACTATCAGGGGACAGCTTGCTTTTCTGCAGCTGAGAGCCACGAGGTGAGTAACCTCCCCACTCTCCCCTCTCCCAAGTCACGCAGAGGTGAGTGTAGCAATAGCTCAGACGCGGCTTTGTGCGCCCGTGACTTGCTGAAATGGGTCCCCTGGACTTGTGATTGCTGTGTTTACCTCACCTGCTCTGCAGCCGTTCTTACGCCGCTGCAGCAGCCGGTGCCGTGACATCAGGACACGCAGGCGTATCTGAGCTGGCAGCCAGCTCGGCAAGTCAAGGTGCAGCTAGCAAGGAACTGCAGTTTGCAATTCAATACACATAGTTTGGCCAAGAAGCTTCACAAATAGATAATTATGTTCCAGCCTTTGCAATGATGGAAATGACACCCAGTCACCACACCTAAACGTGAGGTCACAGATTTTGAAGCTTAATTCTGTGCTATTTTAAAAAGCAAACAGAACTCCTGCCCTTTGTTGTAAACCTGGTCACAAACATAGTTATCCACAGTAATACAGAGTGCCCAAAGAACTGTTTTATAAACAAAATACTTTTATTAGACTAGTACATGGGTCATTTTAGATGAAAAATTAAAATACAGTTGGTATTAAACTATTGTTTGAGTTCATTTCACTGAAGTCAAAGTTACTGTAGATTAACCTCAGGAGGTAATAGTTATCTGAAAACAAAAAAGTTTTTAAAAATATAGATGGAATTTCTTCTTCCTCTTTTTATTTAGTCTGTTTTGGCAAAATAATTTAAATTAGACAGCTAACAGAGCATAACACTAAGCAAAACCAGAACTTAACTGGAACTGAATATAGACTGTTTTTTGATCTGTTCCTGCTTCTGATGTGAAAATTATCCCATCACTACGTTTATGTTTCCATTTTGTTAAATATAATTATTTTTCATTAGGCTTTCTGTAAGAGCTCCATCCAAGAAAAACATGTTGAGTATTTAGAGATACTCCACATACCTAATCCAGTTTATGGGGTAACTGCTTCTCAGAAGACCCCTGGACAGAGAAATCCCTTCTGTTGTTTATTCTTGTTTTACAGAAGCATTGTAACACTACTGCCCTATCTGAACACCAGTAGTCACATCCAGCCTGGTACAGAACTCAGCAATGGAAAAATGTACTTGGGTGCGGCCCCTGCAGACCACACTGTCACCTGAGTGTCAGTTACAGTCGTTTTTCATAGATTCATAAATTTAAGAAAACGACTGGCCCTGTGCAAAACAAAGAGCAGTCTCTTCTAAAACAAGAGACCCTTTATAGAATAAGCAGGCTCAGCATCCCACTTCAGAGTGATGCAGTGGCAAGAGTACGAGCCTCAACTTCTCTTAAAAAATGGTAACTTGGCATATATATATATATCCTTCAAGCCCACAGACAGAACTCTGAATTACTACTATTTGTTATTTTAAATCTCAGCTGTATCAGAAACCTCTTTCTGACCTAAGTTCAATTACCCCAATACTGTGCAAATGTTGCAGAGTTATACTGCAGCTCCTCCGGGATGCTGTTATAAGCAAACTTGTTGCTTTCATATCAGACAGTATGGTTAAAACAGGTTATTTCAAATACATTATCTTTACAGGGATCCATCTAACCTTTTGGATACATTTCTATTTTTACACAATATTCCTCCTAGGCTCAATGATCTTCGTTATTTTTCTCTCAGTCCTTGGTTATAAGCTATGTTATCA